TTCCCGCGGGCACAGGAAGTCTGAATTTAAATTTGAGTTGTCACACGTAGTCCCCGAGATACCCTAAAATTACTCTAAAAGTACGTAAAATTTCAGCTTTCTAGATCCATTGGTTTCCGAGATAATAATTTCCCCCCGCAAAAATTCTACAGATCAGTACTTGTTACGCACTGAATTTAAATTTGCGCGATCGCACATGGGCAATGAACATTCTACTAAAATTTCAACTGCCCGGCTTTTGTGGTTCTCGAGTTGAAACTGCGGGAAAAACTGCACTCGGACATGTACACACACCCACGCGCATGCATAGAAACACACACACACACACACAGGCAAGCCGTGACAATATGCGTCCTGTGCAAAACACATACCCCAGGCTGGAACGCACCAGGCGAGCTGGTGCGATCACGCGTTTTACACAAAACTTGAATTAGGTTAACTGCATGAACAGTTTTTCTTCATACCTACCTTGTGTGCTTAATGTCGAAAAATCATAAAAAGAAATAAACTATTTCCGTTTAGCGGTTTTTTATGCGTTTTTGCTGTGTAGCGCTATAGCGCTGCTACAGCAAGCAAAAACGCATACTGTAGAGAGGCTGTCCGTGTGTGTGTTCGGAAAACGAGTGCATTTTGTCGCCCACTTTCATCTCAGCAACCAGGAAAGCTTGAAGGCTGAAACTTCGGATATATGTTCCTACCCCGTATTTAAGGGTAAGCAAAAATGCGACTAAAAAAAGTAAAAAGAGGTGATGAAGTAAATGAAAAGAATGAACAAGTGAAAATATAAATGAGTGCATTTTGTCGCCTGTTCGGAAAGCGAGTGCATTTTGTCGCCCACTTTCATCTCAGCAACCAGGAAAGCTTGGAGGCTGAAACTTCGGGTATATGTTCCTACCCCGTATGTCATCCCCCCATTTTAAGATCTTCCCCCATGTGCGCCCAAACCCCGCACATGGGAGCCCCAAAGAAATTTGTTGGCGGGAAACGGTTTCGCGAACCAGGCAACGTAGAAGGCTGAAACTTTGCAGGGACATTCTCTATACATGTGCGAGACAAAGATTTTAAACTCAGTCCTCTAGCCCCCAACCACAGCTTCAAGCGGCTCCTGAACCCAAAAATTCGCATCAACTCGGGCCTGAACCGCAATTGTATATGCAAATGAACGTGGATTTTTTGAAAAACGACCGCTCGAGCAATACTTTCAATTTTTCAATGAACTGAAAACTTGTATATTTTCAAAAATTCGTTCGCAGCTCGGACCTTAACCGCGATCGCATATGTAAATGAACGTATATTTTTTGACAAACGACCGCTCGAGCAATTCTTCCACTTTTTAGTGAACTGGAAATTTGCATTTTTTCAAAAAATTTGCATTTGTCATTTTTCACAAAGCGGGCATTTACCGGAAAAGCGACCGGACTTCATGCAGAAAACCGGTAACCTGGATGTGCACCACCTTCATCCCAACTGTAATGCACCACCTTCATCCCAACTAATGCCCTTCCTTTTGCATGCTGGTAAGAATCAACACACGGACAATATTAGCCAAAGTGTTAGGCTACAGCGTAGGAATCATTCCTGCTAATAACGATCTGCGAGTTTAGTGCAAAAACGCATGATCG